GTTCACCGCCGGTAGACCAATCTCCGAGCCACGTGCCCTTCTCTCACTTAAATCCTCTCTCGCTGGCGCCGGAGATGACAAAAATTCGCCTCTCTCCTCCTGGAAAATCTCGACCAGCTTCTGCACATGGTCCGGTGTCACGTGCGACGTCTCTCGCCGGCACGTGACTTCTCTTGACCTCTCCGGTCTCAACCTCTCCGGTACTCTCTCTCCAGAGGTATCTCACTTACGTCTTCTCCAGAATCTCTCGCTCGCTGAAAATCAGATCTCCGGTCCAATCCCGCCGGAGATCTCGAATCTCTCTGGGCTTCGTTACTTAAATCTCTCAAACAATGTCTTCAACGGTTCGTTTCCCGATGAGATTTCGTCAGGGTTAGTGAATTTACGCGTTCTCGATGTCTACAACAACAATCTAACCGGAGATTTACCGGTTTCCGTCACCAATCTGACTCAGCTCCGTCATCTCCACCTCGGAGGAAACTACTTCGCCGGTACGATCCCATCGTCTTACGGAAGCTGGCCAGTTATTGAGTATTTAGCGGTTTCCGGTAACGAGCTCGTCGGGAAAATCCCTCCAGAGATGGGAAACCTAACGACTCTCCGTGAACTCTATATCGGATACTACAACGCTTTCGAGGACGGTCTTCCACCGGAGATCGGGAACCTATCGGAACTCGTTCGTTTCGACGGCGCTAATTGCGGATTAACCGGTGAGATTCCGCCGGAGATTGGTAAGCTTCAGAAGCTCGATACGCTTTTCCTGCAAGTGAATGTTTTCTCCGGGCCGTTAACTTGGGAGCTAGGAACACTTTCGAGCTTGAAATCAATGGATTTGTCTAACAACATGTTCACCGGTGAGATTCCAGCGAGTTTCGCACAGCTGAAGAACCTCACGCTTTTGAATCTATTCAGAAACAAGCTTCACGGAGAGATACCGGAGTTCATCGGAGAGTTACCGGAGCTTGAAGTGTTACAGCTTTGGGAAAACAATTTCACCGGAAGCATCCCTCAGAAATTAGGGGAAAACGGAAAACTCAACCTCGTCGATCTCTCTTCCAACAAACTCACCGGAACTTTACCGCCGAACATGTGCTCCGGTAACAATTTAGAAACCCTAATCACACTTGGAAACTTCCTTTTTGGTTCAATCCCTGATTCTCTTGGGAAATGCGAGTCTTTGACCCGGATCCGAATGGGTGAGAATTTCTTAAACGGGTCAATCCCTAAAGGACTATTCGGATTACCCAAATTAACTCAAGTGGAGCTTCAAGATAATTACCTTACCGGAGAATTACCGGTCGCCGGAGATGTCTCCGTCAATCTTGGTCA